GTCACATTATAACGCCCTCACGGCTGAAAGGGCGAGCATGCATGGTGGGACGGGGATTCGAACCTACGACCCGCAGATTACGATTCGAGCGCCCTAACCACCTGGCCATGCCGAGCCCTGCACAATTGTACAACTATCTCGGATCCAGTCATTAGGATCAATTTTTTCGTCGGGAGTTTGTTTTTCTTTGCATCAGTAATCTTTACAATTCAGAACTAGTATTGCTATTTTTTTCAGCACGTTAATATTTCTTTTTTGTTGTTGCTTATGTAGATGCTATGTTTTCGACAGGACAGAGGGAGCAAGAAAAAAAATCAGATATTTTACAACCCGTTTCATGGTGAAAAATATCTTATTGTTGTTAAATATGAAGATAATATATGTGCCATTTCGTGACTTGAAGCAATTTGTATTTCGTTTTGAAATTAAATTTCTTCATTATATATTAGCCTTATTATTAATATTTCATAAAATATAAATTAAGTAAAAGCGAACTCAAAGTGGTTAACTGTGATATATATTAATTATCATCGTGACTTAATTACTTTTTATCATTTAGATGACAGGCCGCAGAGATATCTTCGATCAAAGGTCTAAAGAGTCCGAAAAAAATACGTCTGGAATAGTAAAGAAAGACATTATGACAGTCAACGGATTCCTTTTGGATGACCTCCCATCTAGTGGCACAACAAGCATAACTAACAATGATTCTTTACGATTCGACCCTGATATAAATGTGCAAACACCAGCTTATAACTTTCAATGCATTTCTGTTTCAAACGTAGATTCTGTTCCCAAAAGTTCCACGTTAGTTTTCAGTAATAGTTTAGAGAAATTATCATCAGATGGCACACAAAAATTCCAGACTCCATGTAGACTATCTCCAGTGCAGTCATTTATTGTGGATAATTTGTCTAATACAGAAAGACCAGCCACAGAAATGAATAATACATTTAATGTGGCACAAACGAATCTTGCCATGAACTCTTTAAAACGAATAGCCCAAGAGAAGGTAAACAGAAGTCAAAGTGCGCGACTTGCTCCTCAGAGGGGGTTTCACCGAATGCCACCAATGCTGCCAAGTTGCCAGTATGCCCAATCACCAAAGGTGCCAATGGTGATAACTGGTTATAATAACCTAGCTGTTGGGTATTTTATTAATCCTCCTCAAATTACAACGACAGGTAAGCTCCGGACAGCTATTTATTTCAGCAGTCTAATGAATTTCTAAATCAATGAATTGCATGGGTAATGGAAATTGTATTTTACACTCCTCATATCGCTTACTGGTTGTATAATAATGCTATCTCGTTGCAGCTTTATAGTCTTATGTGTATGTATATATTCTCATAGGCTGGCTTGAAAATATGTTTGTTATGTTTTAGTGATCAATGTATAATTTGATATCATTGAATTATGGAAGGTTTTTTTTTAATATTGATTTTTTACAACATATGAAAAGGGGTAGATATATTTAGATCCCCGCAAATTATTATTTGATTTCTTTTATGTCAATAATTGAAAGTAAGAAAAAGTCTGATTGTCCGAAGCGTTCAAAATCAGTAAGGAATTGATACTCGTTTAATACTAGCAAAGAAAAAGAAAGAAAGAAAACCCGTGTACTATTAGATACAACCATACAACCACTGTTATTAACTTATTTTTAATTTCGTATAACAGAATTAGTACATATTGCAATATGTGGTATACGATAGATGTTGGCGAATTATTTAAAACACCAGGTGACTTAAAGGGAAAACGTGCATACTGACAAACTCAAATAGATTGTTTAAAACATTTAGTTTACTATATTATTGTAAAACAACAATACACTAATCTACGAATGTACATGGAACTTGGATATCACGATAAACACCAGTTTGTTTGTTTGTAATTAAGCTCAAAGCTA